ACTTAAGTAATTGTTTTTTTTTTATTAAATTAGTAAATGTTCTGAAAATTTCATTTTCTCATGTTCTTAGTTTGAAAGTTGTTATTTTCTTTAATTATCAGTTTTATATATATTAGGGTATTTTTAATGAGTAGCATAAATATTTCACAAGGTATATATATATATATATATTATATATTTCACAGGTTAAATATAAACTTTTGGTTTTGCAAGTATTACAAAAGTTTTAAAATCAGATTTTTGTTATTTTTGTTATTTTGATTCCATCCTTATTATTTTCAGACATCGATATATTTGTGAGTAACATGATAGATTTTTTTATTGATGTACTAGAAACAATATATATATATATATATATATATATATAGATTTCTTATTAATATGTCAAGCATATAAATGATATAAGAGATATATCTGGAATATATTAGAGATAGTAATATGAATGCAATTTTTTTTTTCATTTTTAGAAAAAAAAAAACTCTCAATTTTAAGGGTAAAATTGACTTTTTCTTATTTGTACTAGACATCCCTTTTTTCTTTTTGCTAGATGACTTTTTTCTTATTTGTACTAGACATTCGTTTTTTCTTTTTTTTTCTTTTGCTAGATTTGAAAATCAATAAAATTGATTACTAGATTTGTAATTAATTAGTAATTTTTTGTCATTATGTTAGAAATATTTGAATCTAAAATTGTAATTTTGGAAGATTACAAATTTCACAAAATTGGAGAGAACACAAAGAAAATAGTTCATATATATTATTACGGTGTGACGCTCCAAATTGAGAATTATAAATTTTTTAAGATATTTTGTAAATAAAGAGATATAATGAAATTAAGAACTATGGTGTAAAATTTAAATAAGATTTCAATTAGTCAGGGGTCTTTATTAGATAAATTTCATATTTAATATATAATAAAATAATCTCTATAAATAGATGACCATTCTTAAAAGGTTTATTGTTCTGATCCCAACGAAAATTTTATTTATCTTCAAACCAAAGCTTCTTCCTCTATCATTAGTGACTAAACTTTAATGCAACGGTAATTCAAGTCTAGTTATAAGTTTGGAAGGCTCGTATTAGATATAATTTATTATTTTCAAGTATTATTTGTTTTTTGTTCTTGTTGTTTACGAATGATTGATATTAATTAAATTGATGCTTTAATTCACTACCTAAGAGTTTTTGACCCGTAACTATCATAAATAATTGAATCAGAGTAGCAAGGAATTGACTTATGTGTTTATTTATAGGTTTTTCTTGATACATAGCTTACATAATAGACTGCAGGAAAATAAGGGGACAAAATTAATTAATTTGGTTTAGTCATTCTAATTATTTGTGATGCTATTATTTGAATGATATGGAACATTATCTTGCCTAATTGATTAATTAATAAATGTTGATTTTGATGTTTGATCTAAATTAATTAAATTAGGGAATTAAAACTTAACACGACTTGTCCAAGTTAGTAAACTAAGTTTTTGAATTAAGAAATTGGTTTTATTTGAAGTCAAAGATTACAATGGGATAAAAGTAAGAGATTATAAGTTTGGTAAGATTGATTTTAAAATTCAAATTTTTAGTTTATTATTCGAAATTTCAAAATAGAATATAAAAACAGAAAGTTTTTTTTTTTTCCAAAGGTAAAAAAATCGTCGAAACGGCCTTGAATTCCTTTGAAAGAAAAAATGAAAAACCGCTTTATTTATTTATTTTCTCTCTTTTTTGAGTACAAAAACAGCTTTCATTTATTCTCTCTTTTTAGAAAATTAATTACATGG